ATTGTCCCAAATTTTGGGCTCTCTATAGGGAGGTTCCAAAAAAACCCTAGGCGGTGCCACTTGTCCCGCTTTTTATCACATAACGTGTAATAGAAATAATATATAAAATTTAGTTATTAGATATTATTTGTACGATGAAAGAAAAGGAGTATATTTTATGTTGATTTCTCATTGTTTTTATGTTCCGCTAGTGATCCGTTAATAAGCTAATAATGAATAAACATTTTGCTTGCCTGCCTGGGTGTATCTAATTTACTCAATCTACTTATTTTAAAAATTAATAGGTCAAAATATACCAAAATATATATATATATATATATATATATATATATATATATATATATATATATATATATACATCGGTGTATGAAGAAGGGACATGTGTTAATATTATAAGACTATTTTATCTGATATACCATCGGGAAAAATCCCGATTTTTAAAATTGTGTTTTTAAGGTCGATATTCTGAAATTGACTGATTAAGAGTTGGCCACCCTATCCACACGAACCACACAAGTCGTAAAAACGATACGAAGGATTCTCTCTTTCTTTCTCACTCTTCCTCCGTCCACCTACTCGTTTCTTCTCTTCTTCCCGCCTGCTTTTCACGAGGACGCGTTAACGACCATGGATGTCCATTAACACGATTTCATCAGTGTGACACACAAATCTTTTATTTCTCCGTAGAAAATTCCCGATGATGGTGGTAGTGTGGTGTCGCGCGAGGACCGCGAGACACGTGGCAGCACGTGCTCAGCTCGCGTACAATATCGCGCGCGCGTGAAACCTTGTTCTTCTTTCCTTCTGTCCCCAACCGCCTCTCCTTATCTTCTCGTATATTTGAATTCATACGACTTTGAGAGAAAGGTACGATATGTGTATGTATACGCGCAGCGTATCGCGTGCGTGCAGACATTTTTCGTCAGCACTTCTGCTGACGGCCGATCGGCCGTCGGTGAGTTTTACGATCTACAAATGTCTCTTTGTAACACGTAACCCAAGACTCGGCAATACCGAGAAAGCAAACTTACATTAGATTATTACAAGACATACATCAGGTGTAGAAATCTCGTAGATTGGCGTGACGGGCGAAACAGAGAATGAAAATTAACGATCAAGAAAAATTACCATGTACGAAAAGGTCTGAAAGGTCGAAGCAAAGAGAGATCTCGCAAGAAACAAAATAATCGTTACGAGTCGAGGGCAAGAGAGAGAGAGAGAGAGAGAGAGAGAGAGAGAGAGAGAGAGAGAGAGAGAGAAAGAGACATAAAATATATTTTGCACAAATGGAGAATTGCGAGAATCCCGACGAACAAGACAGATAGTAACGGTTGGGATTAAAGAAGGAGAAATATTCATAAACGATTCCACGTCAGGGATAGCGCACGGTCACTCTCCTTGTGCTCTCACAATTCCTGGAAGCTGCAATTACATATGCTCGTTTTTTTTCTTTTTTCATTCCCCTCGCGCAAGCGTTCCCTCTCGAAGTCACGCGGTGCACAAGCTAACGACCTGGATAACCGGCCGTGATATTTCCAAAGTAACGTCATCGTTGGCCACGATGCGACGGGTCTGGCGACAGAGGCACTCATTACAACTTCCGGTTCGGGAGAGCGCGCGAACGAGTGAGAAAGAGAGGCGTATAGAGTAATCGACGGTCGGGGGAGAAGAGAGGGCGAGGTCGAGAACGAGGGAGAGGAAAAAAGAGAAAGAGACACACAGAGAGAGAGAGAGAGAGAGAGAGAGAGAGAGAGAGAGAGAGAGAGAGAGAGAAAGGCGGGGAGATAATGCAAGAGCGAGGAGAAAGAGTAGGAAAGAGAGAGAGAGAGAGAAAGAGAGAAGCACGGCGGGCGAAAACGTTCAATAGCCACATCCTCATAATGGAACAGCGTATCAAACTCATTAGACGTCATTATTGAATCGACATGATTACGTTCCACGGAAAATCACAATTTACTGGCGACGAAACGTTGGAACTAGGAAAGTAGTGGTAGTCGTCGTCGTCGTCGACGAGGACGTTGACGACTACGGGTCAACCGGCCACGCGACCGACGAAAGAACTCGCGCACAACGTGTTACGGCAGTGATTCATGCCAGGTATGTCAAACTGGTTCCCCGAGGTGGGCCGAGAGATAGAGTCGAAAAATCATGTCCCTATCTCTACCTAGACACAATGCAACGTAATAGAGAAATCGGGCTCCCCGGATATGCGGCGCGATCCCCGCTGTCTCTCGCGGACCGCGGATTTTCGCGGAGGAAGTTCACGTCTTTGCGGTGTTCCAGAAAGCGCTTCTTATCGCGTGCATGTTAAAAAAAGTGAGAGAAGAGAGGAAACAGAGCGGGATTTCGGGTCGCCGTACGATGGCACTTCAGAGTGCTCTCTTTTTCTCTCTCTCATTCACGGGAAAGGGGAGGAGGGGGAGCGATCAATGATTGGCGACGGATAATAAAAGTGCGTCCGCATAATAACCGATCGACATTTCGTTTCCGCACACGGCAACTTGGGAGCCCTCCTCCTGCGGAGCAGTGTATACCGAGCGTTGAAATTAATTTGATATTCCGGAAACTTGTAAAGTTTTCAAGGTGAGCCACGGCTACGGCTTCGCCCGGCTTCGAAGGCGGTTCTCACGGTGCGCGGTCGCGGGGTTCTCTCTCTCTCGCGCGCATGCGGAAGAACCCCGCGACTCTCTCGATTGAAAAAGGACGCGCGAAAGCCGAACGGAAGAAGAAGAATGAGCACGTACGCACGCCGCCACTTCGAGGCGAGGCTCGGAATTTCAAACGCGAGCGCGGCAACCGCGGCTTGTGACATCGTTCTAACTGTTGAGAGTCTAATGTCGTATCGAGCGGTCAGTGTTGGCTGCGGGCGTGTCGACCGCAGGGAGCCCGGGTACGGCTTCCTTCCTCCCTCTACCCCCCTTCCCTCACTCTCTCTCTCTCTCTCTCTTGCGAGCGTGCACGTTACATACATATATGTGTTTCACGGATTACACTACGGCTGGCGAATTCGACGATCGATATCCCGGACGATCTCGCGCCGAATCGATCCGCCTGTTCACGCGAGAAGCTCGCCGCACGCCGCGCATGGATGTGCGGTGTAACGCATAATGTGTGTGTGTGTACATGTGCATGTATGAGCTCGGGGACGCCGGCCCCGAGAACGGTATTGATCGTCGCGATTGGAGCAGGACGATCATTCAGCGGCGCACAATCGCCGACAGACGTTAAGATTTAAATGGCAAGGCCACACACGCGTGTGCACACGGGCGTCCGTTTCGTTTCAATTTCTAAACATTTTGCTTGAACGAGCCGCCGACTACGTCGTCGTCGGCGATGACGGCACGCCGCCTCATTTGTTAGACAACGGGCCTGTCTCATTCGATCGACTCCGAGAACACACGACACACCGATGGCGAGATTCTTATCGTTCGGCGATAGGAGGAGAAGAGAATACACACATGTTCGGTCGCGTGTGCGAAATATCTTGCTTTTTCTCGACACAAACTATGTACTTATATCCTGACCTCGACTACTCATATTGTAAACACGACAGGGGCGATAAACATGACGAGGCTAATGACGCCTCGAATGATTCGGCACGAGACGATAAGATGTCGCGTTTTCGCGCCTGCAAAACGTCGCATTAATTTCGGACGAGTGAACTCGACGACGTTGGCCGGTTTATCGCACGGAAACGATTACGTATACATCCTTATCATTGGAACGCGCTTAAGAGTCGTCGACGAATTTCAAGTCGCCTACGATGACGACGACGACGGTTATATGAATAACCCGACATGACCAGATGCAATTATTTCGGATACTGTTCGGAATGCAACAATGTAACGGATACAAGAAAAAGCAGTCGAAATCGAGCCATCGGCGGTGCGGCATAAAAGAAGATGGGGGATCGTGGAAATTAGCCGTTTCGTGGAATGGTGACCGGCCGGCCCTTTCTCTCTCTCTCTCTTTTTCCTTCTTTCTTTCTTCAAGGTTGCTCCGAGAGAGTCATCGGTCCCGAACATGCAATGCACGATGTAACACGCGTCTTTATGTATGAGCCGCGCTGCTCTGCATGTATCGCTGCGATCGAATTGTAAACACTTTTCTAACGACGTTCTAGATCGTACGAGGGGGCGAGCGGAAAGAGCGCGAAAGAGAGAGAGAGAGAGAGAGAGAAAAAGACGGTGAAAACGGAAAAAAGCGAGGAACCATAACGACCGCGACCTACGGCAGGACAGGTTTACTCTTTCCCTCTCTCTCCCTCCCTCTTTCTCTTATCCTCATCGTCGCCACCTTGGCGCGAAACAGAATTCGAACGTAAATTGGTTTAATTGCTCCATCGCGCGCCGGTATCGAGTTTCGCGTGGTGGCGTTCGCGTTTACAGTCGTGCCAATGAACTGTCAGTGACGCGAGCGCGCTATACACGCGCCGCGACTCCGTCGCCGGTGCCGGCGCGTGCAAGAGCGCGGAGAACGGAGAGATAGACGGCGAGAGGAGAAAGGAAGAAAAGCGAAATAAAAGCGAGGGAACAAGACTAGCGCTCTCGGACGCGTCGCGACGCGTCTCGGGACGAGTACTCGGGAGACTGCTCCTTCGTGGTCGCGCCGGATGCGACAGACACCCGCTCGCTCTCTTTCTTTCTTTCTCTCTCTCTCTCGCCCGCCTTCCTTCCTTGCTTGTCTAGCGCAGAGAGTTTCATACTCGCACGTTGATTGCACCAAAGAGAGATATAACAAAACCAACGCTTATTCTGCGGAAATAACGCGGTTCTCGCGCGCATACATGACGCCGGAGGAAGAACCTCGTGCAATATCGCACGAGATCACTGACGGATTATCGAGCCGAAATTAACGTACGGCGCGATAAGATTACAGGCCCTTGGCCGATAAGCGAACGTGGCGACAAAAAAGCAACACAAAGTATACAAGGGGATTATGAGGGGATCATGAAGCCGCCATGCGGAGGAGAAATTTGTCGTATAAGTTTGCGCACTTACCCTGTCGGCCGACGATTTCCGCCACGTGCTCGCTGCTGGGCACCGGCACGCACTCCGTCATGTTCTGGCTCTTCTTGGAGCGCGCCTCCTCGAAGACGTTGGCCGGTGCGGCCTGCAGCGGGTCGGGATCGTTGGTGACTCCGTTGGCGGCGGCAGTGCCGGTGCCGGTGCCGGGACAGTCCGGGTTGCCCTCAAAGCCGAGCATCGACAGCTCGAAAGCAAGCTGTAACGCGCGCCGGTCCTCCAGCGATGCGGCGCCGCCAGAATTGGAGCGGTCCATGTCGCTGAACAAACTCGTCGGCATTTCGCTCAAGTAAAAGATGTCGTGTCACGAAACACTGGTTTCTCGGGATCGTTGGGACTCGCCAACGATGTTCTCCTGGGATCAGATTTGCTGAGCGTCGCCGATGTTCACCTTATGCTGTACAACGTTCTGTCGTTGAACTCTATTTCTCTTTCTCTATCTCCTTCTCTATCTTTCTTGCGCTCTGCTCCCGTCGTCTCTTTATCGAACAAACGAGCGGAACGTTTCGCGGAACGGTCCGCGCCGCCTCGACGACTACGACGACGTTCGAGGGACGTTGATGGGACGCGACACGCGGCAGCGACGACGACGCGACGAAGACGACGACGGCGACGACGGTAAGAAAGATATGACAATCTCACCGGTACACGACAAAGAACGTGGCGTCGCGACGCACGGACGTGATCACGACGACTCGTCGGCGATTATACGTGCGTGTAAAAAAACCCGGAAACTCGTGTGCAACGCCGACGCACCGCGCGGAGGTAATGTCGTCGGCTTACGCTGTCGGTTGTTCGCTCCGCGGCTCTTCTTCCGCTCGTCGCGTATTACTCTGCCGTCCCCTCTCGTGGATGCTCGGGCACCGATAGCGAGTATAGTAGTCAGTCGCCCGTTCCTTTTAGCGCTGGAAACAGGCACTACCGAGTCGTATGTGCGTGTTCGTGCGCGCACCGGCTACGAAAATGGCCTTCTCGATATCCCCACTGCTCTCTCTTCTCTCTTCCTCTCACTGTCCGTCTCTATCTCCCTCCGTCTCGCGTTCTGTCCGACGCGTGCGGTTTGTGCGGTTCGGGAGCCCTGTAGCAACTCCACTCCTATCTCTATCTCTCTCTTTCGCTCGCGTTTTTCTCGTAGTTGCGTATTTCGACCGTTTGGCTTTCGTTCGTTCGTTCCACCTCTTTCTCGCTCTCTCGCTTGCTTCCTCCGCTCGGTCTCTCTCTCTCGCGTTCTGCGTGCTGCTACCGACGGACCGGACGATGTAACGACACGTTCGTGTGTACCGCGTTCTCGACTGCCTCGTCACCGGCCGACTGATTCCCGAGAGCGACGTCGCGCGAGACTGATGCACTGAAAACGGAGGCAAGGGGCGCGCGCTCGCTTTCTTCTTTTCCCTTTCTCACTCGTACTCGTTCGCTTTCCTTTCGGCTTCTCTCTCTCTCTCTCTCTCGCTCTCTTTCTCTATCCTCACTCCCTTCCGTTCGTATCTCGCTCTCGATCGCCTCTCTTCTCACCGCGGTCTTTCCTTTCGAAGGCAGGCGCGTGCAACTACCCTCTCGCTCGTGTTTCCACTGCGACTGACTGCGACGTACTGCGACTGCGGCTGTCGAAGCCGGCGCACCGCCATGTGCCGGGCGCCGGCTATGTGCGCGGCCGATTGGCTGCCGGCGTCACGTGGTACACACCACCCTTCCCCACCAGAGCGGCGCCAAACGGCGCATAGGCGTAGCGCACCTACCGGCGAAGCGGCACCGCAACGCAACGTAAAGCAGCGCTACTCCGTTCGGCTCGATTCAAAGCGAACGAGCGAGCGAGCGAGCGAACGAATAAACGAACGAGCGAACGAGCGAGCGTAGTCTCGCATCGCGCTCGGCTCCTTCGGCTACGGACGCGTGCACTCCCGGCCCCGATCCGTACCACGCAACCCCCTCCGTGTATCCGTTCGCGCCCGAGCCTTCGCCAAGTCTCCCTATGGAAACGCTACCGCCACCACCGCCACGCCACCGGCCGTCCGAACGCGCGCCGCGCTACTGCCACGGCTTGTACTCTACCGATTTTCCAGAGCGACGAACCCGACGACGGCCCGGGACTCGCGTTGGCCGGGACACGAAGCGGCCGGTCCCGTGTGCGTCTTCGGCTTCGATCTCGCCGCGCTGCTGCTTCCGATGCGGGTGTGAATCCCCCTCCGGTTCCAGCCGGCGCAATAGTAACCAGCTCGATGTAACACACCGGGCCGCGCCTGGAACATTACATATACGTGTATATGTAGTGTATGTGCGTTACATACGCGCGCGCGTATCAAGTTGGATCGCGAATCGATTTACCCGCGCCTCCTGTTCGCCCTCCACCCCCCTCGCCCCCCCCCCGTCTCCTTGTGCGTCGAGGAGTCGATGAGTGCAGATTAGTTTCGAGTGTCGCAGAAGAGAGAGCACAATACGACGCATCGCGTCTCTTAAGTTCGAATGTGAGCGCTTACCCGGCGAAATAAACGTCGACCCGCGACGATATATGATTTTCCCGGCGAATGTCGAACGGGTCAAAGTGCACCGACCTAGGTGGATCGTATAACGCTCTTTCTTCTTCTCCTCTCTTCTCCGTACCGTTCGTCAGCGAGGCTCGCGTGTACGCGCGCGAGCTGCACCAACGCTTCTCTCTATCTCTCTCGTCTTTCTCTCTTCCTCCCTCTCCTTCTCCCTCTCTCTCTCTTTCTCATTCTGTCCGCGCGGTTATCTCTCCATTTTAGCGGGTGAATAACTAATGCACGCCGCTGGACGTTTATAAGTCCGTAGAAATAATAGCGACGCGTCGTCCAAATCGTAAATCGCACCGCTTGCGAGGTAACGTCACGGCGCGATGTCTGTCGTGCCGCGAAAATTAAACGCATCCCGGAGAGAGCGGACGTTCTCTCTATCCTTCTCTCTTTCTTCTCTCTCCCCCCTCTCTCTCTCTCTCTCTCTCTATTTCTATCTATCTATTTATCTCTCTCTCTTTCTCTCTATCTCTTCTCTTCCTTTGCTCAGTTTATCTACTCATATTAAATATGTTAACCTTAGTACTCATTGCACTTTTACTTGTACTGCTGCTTCTCTATAATCATTATTTATATCTTTTCTTATATTTCTCTTCGGCATTAGGTTAGTTATTTCTCTTATTTTTACAATTTCTTAAATGTTTTTGTAATTTCCTCAACCTCAACTCGATTTACTAATAAACTAATGAAAAGTTTCTAACCTCAGGGTCTCAACATAAATTCTATTCTCTCCCCCCCCCCC